CAGTGGTTTACTGCCACCCCCTCCACGGAACCGGGGTGCCTTGTCTTCCTGCTGCATCCCTCCATTGCCCCCAACCTGCATCTAAAGAAGTCACGCTTCTTATGTGGAGAATGGTAACACACGGACAATAGCAGACCACAGGTGGAAATCATGCTCTCTCCGGGTTGTCGTCCTTGCTTGTTCGCTGTACTCATTTTACTTCTGGCTCAAAACATGCTGGTGGGAACCGTTACGAAAGCCAGTTCCCTACAAGGAGGAGGACTTATGCTCTTTCCTCCCACCCATCCCTTTCCTGTTTCTGCTCATGGCTGGGCAAGCAATGCACAAGCCGAGCCATTGCCAAAGACAGCCACTTTTTCCCTTCCACCTTACCTCTGTCCTTGGCTTTTGAATGCTCACCCAGATATAGTGTGTCTGAACAGGGAGGCTCTGTCCGCTGACTGTGGCGAATGGCTTTTGGCACACTTTCCCTCGGCAAGCTGGCCTGATCCGCTGGTGAGGCTGGTCACCCTGGTGCCCCATCCACAGCAAAAGGGTGCAACAGAAGCGGCTCCTGCATCGGCGGCTGTGGGTCATCCTGAGCGGGCAACCTTGGGTCAACCCTGTTTGTCCTGCTGCAGGGCAGGGCTCTCACCGGAGGGTGCTGAGGGCAGGAGGAGGAGGAAGGAGGATAAACAACAGCCAGTCAGTGGACAGAGCCTCCCTGTTCAGACACAAAAGGCCTTAACAAAGCTTTTCTTGTGGAAAATCTGATGCGGCCCAACCTCACCCAGACTCTGCCTCCAGTGGCCCCCAGGTAAAATGAGTTTGAGACCCCTGGCTTAGAGCACTTCCTAATTGGTTTAACATTTAATGATGCAGGCTACACATTGCCCCCACCCCCAGCGAGCTGGGTACTCAGTTTATCAACTTCAACTGGATGGAAGACTGAGTTAGCCTTGAGATGGCTACCTGAGCCCATTGGCATTGAACTCAGGTCATGAAGAGAGTCTTGATTGGAGTGCCATAGTTTAACCACCCAACCACCGTGATATCACAAGGGCATGTTTCTCTCCTTCTAATGGTCACCAGCAGGTCCCAGCTACCAGTCTCTCTCTTTAATGGACAGCACGAAATTAGGTTGTCTGTGTCTCTTTCTGTCTCCTTCAGGTAGGCAGGATCAGCATGAAGGCACAATGGTTTGCCTTTCCTTTAGGCCACGTTACCATGACGAGTCTGTCTCTCTCTCCCCTTCAGGCAGGTGCCATCAGCACAAAGGCTAGCCTCTGTTTTAGGAAAGCAGCATCAACAGGAACTGATCACAATTACCAGTTTTTCTCTTTCTGGTAAGCCGTGCTGGCATGAGGTCATAACAGCCTTTGCTACTTCAGGTGGGCAGCATCAGCATGACAGTATAATGGCCAGTATCTCTCTTTCTAGTGAAACTGGCAGCAGGCAATGAAGAGAGGAGAGCTGTGAGGCTGACAATCAAGTTACTCTAGGTCTTCCGTTTAGAGCAGCCCCAGAGAATCATGGTACCTGAAGAGGTTACGGTAATGGAGACACTTGCCTAGGAATGTTTTAGGAAAATACCAAGCCTAAAAGGGTGACCTTCTGCAGGATTTGCTCAAAGCTTGGCAGTCTGAAAGTGAAGCTGAAGGGCTGAACATGGGAAGAACAATAGCAGGTAGCTTTGACAGTACATCAGAGCAGATTAAGAGGATGGGATGGTGATGGAAAAATGGAAGGTAGTTAATGGTCCACTCCAAAGCCCACGGCATTTCAGGGAACCCCATTAATGGAAGGCTAATAGTGATAACACCACTGGCTAGGCAAAGGAGAAGATGAAGAAGAAAATGGGGAGATGGAAGAAAGTGCATGCCAGACACTGAGATAGAGAGAAGATGATGATAAAAACAAACACCTAGGTCAGGTTTAGGGAATCTCTGTTTTCTGGGCCTAATTCAGCCCACATCTGTTTTCTCTGACTCTTCCCAGCTGTTTTCTCTCATCCTTCTCTGTATGGAGAAGATGAAGGAGGAGCAAAGCTGGCCATGGATTTAGTCATGAATTTTGGAACTGGCAGTGTCCCAACGTTGGGATGCAGCTGACTCGGCAAACATTGGCCGAGTGTGCTCTGCTTGGGGTTCCTAGCCTGGGAGAAATCCAGCAATGACTCTGGCTGGGGCCTTTAATGATGGCAGGGAGTATGGCCACAGTCCTTCAATTTCATCCAGTCCGTGAAGGAGAGCTGAGGCCCCACCAGAGCTGAACCTCTTACCCCCTCAGAGGTTTTGTTCACTTCAGATCTAGATAAAGAAAGGAAGGAGACGTGTGACAAATGAAAAGTGGGCACAATCCAGGAAGCAACACTGTACTCATTTCCATCCCTGTTGTTCTTCTCTTTCTTGCCAGATATTCTGTATGTAGACTTATCAGCAGCCAGCTGCTCAGTTCCTTGTAGTGATAAGTCCCATGGTGTTGTCACCCCACCTGCCCAGGAGGTATCGCCATGTTGGGCCACTGTCAACTAATGACCCGGAGACAGGATTCCTTCGGGTGTTTCCCTGTGCTGACTGATCTCTTGGCAGTGCCAAGCTGTCCAACAAGAACTGGATTCATCCAATTTCTTGCTTTCTCCATTGCTGACCCCTAGGAGAAATGCTGTTGTTTGAGGCAGCAACTTCTAGAATTCCCCATGTAGCAGCTTGGCTGAGGAGATTCTGAGACTGTATTTTTTTTTAAGGGAGTTACCCTGTTTCCCCAAAAATAAGACCTAACCTGAAAATAAGCCCTATTATGATTTTTCAGGATGCTCGTAGTATAGGCCCTACCCCAAGAATAAGCCCTACTTTAGTGAAACTCCACCCTCCTCCATTGTACAGCAACCAGAAGAAGATGACATGACTGCATTTGAATAAATGTAGATTGTTGTACATGAACAAAAATAAAACATCCCCTGAAAATAAGCCCTAATGTGTTTTTTGGAGCAAAAATTCATATAAGACCCTGTCTTATTTTCGAGGGGAAACACAGTATCTCCAGACTGTGCTGATTTCTGGTATAATTAGTTTTGAATTCTATTCTTATGATATGCACTCCGACGGGAGGCAGTACTAAAACTAAAATACATTTGCTTTTTTGTTTAGTTTTAAGCAATAAATGATTAAAATAAAATCAGCTAATTCTGCTGGCTTAGAACTAAATGTGCTTCTTGTGGAGAGATGGAGGGAAGGATTACTGAACTTGACAGAATCCTGGAGAGAATCTCTCCCCCCCCCCTTTTTTTTGGCGGGGGCAAGAAAAAAAAACTACACAGTGAAAAGCCATAGTTGGAATGTTGAGAGAAATTATTCTGGGTGGGTTGATGTGTGGAGCTAAATGTCAACATTTTCTTGTACTAGATTTCTAGGATTGGGCACATTCCTTGTCTGAATCTGGAGTTGTATGTAATAGTAAGAGCAAGCAAATTCCTCTCAGAGGGTAACACCTCTCCCTTGTTTTCCTATGTCTGGAATCTGCTTCTCAGATGTTTACTGCATCCGAATACGTTCATCTCATTTAGGCATCAGCTCATTGGCAGTTACCACAGGTGGGGCTGACAGGGGTTTTTGGGGAAGTGGGAGAAGCCTAGCAGGCTGTGTGGAGGACTTCCAACATGTCTATTCTTGAAGACAGTGCCTGCCCTTGCTTGTATGAACTTTACTCTTGGTACAGCGCAGACTATCTTTCCCAAATAAATGCTTGGTGTGTCCCAGGTTGGCAACCTTTGACCCTGAACTTGTGGTAGGAGACTCCCACTGGCCACTCCTATCAGTCCTAAATAGCTTAGCCAATGGTGAACAAAGACGAGAGTTGCAGTCCAACTTCTGGAGGGTTACAAGTTGCCCACCCTACAAGCTTCTTGTAATAAGGTGAAATTTGCTTAATGCTATTTTTTTATCTGTGGATTCAATATGTTGTTTTGGTTTACTTTTTGTCCCCCCTCTCCCCTTTTTGAAAACTTAGATGTTTGTCCCTGAAGAAAATGTGGATTTTCGGATACATGTGGAAAATCAAACAAGAGCACGAGATGATGTAAGCAGGAAGCAGCTGAGGCTTTACCAGCTGTACAGCAGAACAAGTGGGAAACATATCCAGGTGCTAGGGAGACGGATCAGTGCCAAAGGAGAAGATGGAGACAAATATGGTAGGAGTATTTACTATTGCCTGTTATTTCCAGTGTGTGTGTGTATTTTGGGAGGTGGGCATAGTGAGAGGGGATTCCTTTCCCTTCATCATCCCCTGTGACATGTGGAACAAATTAGCCTAATGAACGAATGAGTGGGCAGTTAGTCTATAAGATGTGGGAGGGGAAACCAGAATACGAGGACAAATGAGAATCTGATTGCTTAAGCTGGAGCCAGGGAATCTATGGCCATCCAAGTGATTTTGCATTACAGCTCCCATCATCCCCAACCATTGGCAATGTTGACCATGTGTGGTGGTGGATGTTGGAGCCCAAATGCATCTGGATAGCTAAACATCCTCCATCCTGTGTTGGATGAACTGCTAAACTAGTGGAATAAGAACGTGAACATGAGAGACTATTATTTTTACCTCTCAGACTGGTTAATTTACCCATTTGAATACCCCAGCTTGTGCTTAGAGTTATTATTTCAGTCAAGTGATCATATCTCCATTTGTTTATTATATTTGTTTTGTGACTTCTTCCAATGACCTGAAGGCACCATACATTATTCTCTGTTTTTTTTTTTCATTTTGTCTTCATAACAACATTGTGAGGTAAGTGCAGCTGAAAGAGGTGGAGACTGGCCCAAGGTCAGCCAGGGAACTTCCTGGCTGAGTAGAAATTTGAACCTGGACAACTCTTTGTGAAGAAAGCTGATTGATCCTGTAAGATGGAGGATCAGTCTAGAATAGGTTGCCTCCTTGCCTTTCTTAAGAATAGCTATCATTACTCAGTCTAGCAAAGATCTGGAGTAAACAGAAACCCAAGACTTGCTGATGTATTCATTAGGAAGGGAAGACATTTTCAGGAAAAATTCTGAATGTTGATGCTGTGTCCATTCTGAGCCTCTTTTAATCTCCTTCTAAGGCTATATGTATAAATGATCCTCAGGACATCATAATTGGGGAATGTGAGAATTTTATTTCAATTCACTTTGTTCTATCAGTTAATTAAAAATGTACATTCAGGGTAGGAAGAATTTAACATTTTAAAATGTGTTTGAGGACGAGAGCAAAAACTGAGATTAGTTCCTTTGAGTTCTGGGATCAGAGTTCTTAAACTGTAGAAATCTGGGTTTGAATCACAGTGGCTTCATTCATGTTTTGAATTTTTTTTCCTGGGAAACTTCTAATGTTTAACAAGCACATAGAAGGCAATTAAAAACATTACCAACATTTAGACACTTTTTAATGTTCAGAATGGAAAGTTTTCAAAAATTGAAACTTGAATTCAATGTTTCATTTTTCATTTCCATCTTTTCTTTAAATTTATATTTATATTCACAACGTCAGGCAAAAGCAGCTAACAAAATGAACTAATTTGCATGGTAAGAAGTGGCCAACTGATGAAAAAGGAGTCCGCTTCTGGAATTTTCCCTTGCTTGTTATCATTTTGCGAATGGTGGTTGGAAGAGTTACCATTTTGAACTACAGTTCCCAGAATTCTCTAGCTACTGTGGCTAGTGTCCACTGTTTTCCATGCTTTGCAGTAGCTGTAAATTCTATGTGACGGGATTCTGTGGACAGTAATTTTGATAATCAACTGATGAAAAAGGAGCCCGCTTCTGGAATTTTCCCTTGCTTGTTATCATTTTGCGAATGGTGGTTGGAAGAGTTACCATTTTGAACTACAGTTCCCAGAATTCTCTAGCTACTGTGGCTAGTGTCCACTGTTTTCCATGCTTTGCAGTAGCTGTAAATTCTATGTGACGGGATTCTGTGGACAGTAATTTTGATAAGAGTGCCCAGAGTAATGCTTCAGTGTTAATGGTGTGTGTGTGTGTGTGTGTTGTTTTTAAGTATGGCCGGTAGCCATATTAAATTCTGGGTATGGTTTACATACCTGTGAATCAATCAATCAATTTTAAAGAAAGCACAATTTTTTCCACCAAACCGGAGATGCTATTTCTCTTACCTGGTTATGTCAGTAGAGTTTTTTTGAGGATTGCTGTGTTTCATCATCATTCTATGATCCAAAACCTTGTGTAGTTCTTGCTGTTTTCTGAGCACTCACTGTTCATTGGAGGCATGCAACAATGGTTTTGATCAGTCAGGCATTTAAAGCATTTTGAAACTTCAAAATATTCTTGCAGTAAACTTGGCACCATGGTTTAAAACAACAACAACAACCACACCAAACATTATGATAATATCTATTCAGTTGACTTTGGGTAATCACTTTAATGTACTGCCTCTGAAAGGAACTTTGATCCGGTTAACTGGATATTAATCAATCTAGATGAATAACACTAACTACTTTCCAAATATTTCACAGCGGCAGGATGTTTAATGTTTCTGAAGTGCTTTTAGTTAATTGGTCAATGAGAGATTATGTCTGGACAGAGTACTTAAAAAGTGACTGCCTATTCATCAATTAGATTTTAATCTTGTAATTCTGTAAGACGTTGGCTTTTCACATTAAGGATAACAATATGAAATGGCTGACTAATTCTTTTGCTTACATGGCCTTTTAAAAAAGGAGAGGAAAGACAGACATTACATGGTATCTCACGCTGATGCTGTAGATAGGAGAGTTTGCAGCGTGTAAGCTGAAACACTGTATTTTGGCAGCACAAAAGAGAGGAGACATTCTATACTGTTTGCTCACTCTTTGTGTGGGGTTCATTCTCAGGGCTAGTACTGCCCAGGATAGGAAAGGGCTTTATTTGGATTTCATGGGTGGGAGATTGTATTTCAAAGTATCAGACTTCAGTGTTATCCTAAAAGGTAACACCAGAGTTTCCTGTGTCCAAGATAGGACTGTGTTGTTTATTGTTTGACTTCATACCTGAATAGTTTGCTGAGAGTGACGATGTGATGAAAATAACAACTGGGAATGAGGTTACACTGATGGCACAGCGGCGTGAAACCCTAACAATGGGGAAGTCTAGATAATGGAAGTGGGAGGGTCAGGGCTGAACTTCAGTGGTGGAGGACACACCTTGCATACAGATGATTTCTGGTTCAGCCCAGGTACAACCACGTGGTAGAAGTTCCTGCTTGGAAAAAGGGAGAGTCATCTCCTACCTGCCGGCTTTGATAATGCTGAGCTAAATGGACCAGAAGTCAGATTTAGGGTAAAGGAACTTTCTGTATTCTATATGGTTCCTTTGCATTTTACTGTTGGGTTTCTCCTCCAGCAGGGTGCTAGGATTATACAAACTTGATTCATTCACAAAGCAGGATTGGAATACCATCCAGTGCCCATGTGGTTAAGCAGAATGGCCGGCTGCTTGTTTTTCTGAGGTTTGAATGCAGTACTTCTGGTAGTCAAATCTAAATTTTCATTTGCCATCTGTATTACTCCATCATTCAAATTGCTATAACCATTATATTCTCCTTAATAATCCAGCTATCAAAGCGTCTGTATTACTGCATCATTCAAATTGCTATAACCATTATACGTATTCTCCTTAATAATCCAGCTATCAAAGCAGTAATCTATCATGCTATATTTATGCATTAGATCCTATGTTTCACACTCTTCCATTGCTCTTTGCCTAAAATTCAGTTTATTGATTAGCTATTTTGAAATTTTAGCCTGTCTTCTAATATGTTCACATTGCCTGAAAAGTTTTATCTCATCCAAAAATTTAAGGCAATCCATCAAAGTTTACCCTTAATGCTCTGGTGTACTTTCTGTACCTTGGTACCTCATTTAGCTTTACCAGTTTTCACACTTTTCCTCTGCTCTCCCCAACTTTTTTCTTCTTGCTAGTCTTTCTTTCTGTCCACCACAATGCTTGTTCAGAATTTCGCTGTAGTAAGTCTCTTCCCCAGAGGACGTGGTGGCGCTGCGGGCTAAACTGCAGAAGCCTCTGTGCTGCAGGGTCAGAAGACCAGCAGTCGTAAGATCGAATCCACGCGACGGAGTGAGCTCCTGTCACTTTGTCCCAGCTCCTCGCCAACCTAGCAGCTCGAAAGCATGCAAATGCGAGTAGATGAAAAGGTACCACATCGGTGGGAAGGTAAACAGTGTTACGTGTCTAGTCACGCTGGCCACGTGACCACGGAAACTATCTTCGGACAAACTCTGGCTCTACGGCTTGGAAACGAGGATGAGCACCGCCCCCTAGAGTCGAATATGACTGACTAAAATGTCAAGGGGAACCATTATCTTTACCTAAGTATCTTCCCCGCATTAAAGAAATGCCAGGGTTTTTTCCCACCCCTTCACAGTTCTCATTGCATTTCCCCATATTGAGGCAACCACTTTGGACATCATGCAGATTATGTGCTTATTGTGCATATCATGTTCTGGGCCATAAAAGGGTTGACCAGTAATCCTTCCCTTTTAATTCACCACTCCAAAGCTCTTCCCTCCCACCCCACAATGTCAAAGCACTTTTTCTGAGATATAATTACAGTTATAGATATAAAACAGAAGGCTGGGTTTTCTTAGATTCATTGCAAATGCTCTTTACCTGAGGTCAGGAGTTTGATTCCCCAATGTAGCTCCCAAGGGAACAGCCAGCCTCTGAAGCTTTGGACAAGCTGCACAATCCCAGGGGACCCCAGAGGAAGGGAATGGTAATCCACATCTGAGTACTGTACTCTCTGCCTAGAACCGCCCAGAAAGAGTTGCCGTAAGTTGGTATTGACTTGATGGCACATAATTATTAATTATTGCAGGCATGAGGATAATGGTGGGGGGAACAAGTTGCAGCCTAAGGTGTTTAGTGCAGAGATGGGAATGTTTATAGAAAAGAATTAATTGTTTAGTTTATTTATTTATTTATGTATTTATGTAATTCGATTTATACCCCTCCCATCTGGTCTAAAAGATTTTTAATGAGATAAAAATTCTAATTAGTTTAAATTGGAGAGAAATGTTTAAATCATGCTAATGTTAAATGGTTGTTCAACTTAGATTACCACAATAAACCTTACAAGGAAGAAGTAGAAAAATCCCAATGATGGTTCTACCACTCCTGCACAATTACTGTTTAGAGACTGGGA